CCTCTTCTAAACCCTCAAACCAAATAAATCCTTAGGAAAATATTGTTGCTCAACTCCAAAGGTAACATACTTCAATCATTTACCTTTGATGACTTTCTGAATTTTCTTCAAAAATATACACATTGATTAATATTATGGATAAACAAATTTTGTCATTTATATTTTGACATATCATTGATTTCTTCTTTTGTGGCTAGATGCTGGCATTTTGGAATACAAGTCTACTTATTAACTAACAAGACATCAAATATGTAATTAGCTTTATATATATCAAAGCAAAGTTGCTCTTTCTTTTTTTCATTTTCAGGTATTGGCTTAAATTCTGAATATATATTTATATATAGTTTTGTTTTTCACCAATTTGGTTTTTATTTGTTTAACTTTCTTTGCAATTTTCAAACTTAAATAATTTTTTGATTTCGTGTTTGCTATGTGTTGTATCTTACTTTTACGTGTCATCCGATTCTTCTCTTTAAATAATGCTACTAATCTAATGAGATTAACTGTATCAAATAAGTTATATCATATGAAGTTAATTGTTCTCATATTTAGGTCTGTACATTTCAGACCATTACGTTGATGATATATCTTAATTTTATATGAATTTGGATATAATTTTTAGGTATAGTTTATATAAGTTGAAGTTAATTTAATTGACTTTTGAGGTAAATTTTAACACAAAGTCGACTAAACGTATTGCGACAATAAACGTGAAACTGAGTCGATGATGGATTCCCTTTCCAAAAATTAGATACGCCCCGGTAGTGCCTCCGGTGGATGGCGTTCTAACCCAAAGATAAAACGGTTTTCGTCTCCAATGAGAGTGGCACCTCTAATCGTTGAAGCTCCGACGAACAAAACGATAGAGGAACTGAGCTAGGAAGGCTGCCGGAAAATTAGAAGAGATGAGAGAAGGATGAGAGAATTGTTTGTGTTGGTTTTTAGAATGAAGGGGGAGACCATTTATATAGGCGTCTCCACTCGGCCAAAATGGCATGGGATCAATTACGATCATAATTACGACCTTAATTATCGATGTAATTTATTCTAAATTCAAACCTTCCATTTGAAGCAATCGTTATTGATTCTAGTTACAAACTTTCCGTTTGTGACGATCGTAATTATTCTAATTTCAAACCTTCCGTTTGAAACGATTGTAATTTATTCTAATTTCAAACCTTCCGTTTGAGATTATAATAAATCTATCCAACGGATAATATTTCGTCCAAATAATATTGCGACTTAGGCCATATACCCGGGTTTAATTTGGGGTTGCACAATTTGGTTTGTCTCGAGACAGACAAAATAGCCAAAATATTAACCAAACCCCATACAGAATGAATAAATAATTTATTTATTCCTTCCAAATTAATTTAATTAATTTGGTACACCGGCCCGCCGTATTTTTATTCACAAGATAATCGATTGCAAAATAATCAATTATCCAACAATCCCCCATATGAGTGGAAATGTCCATAAATGACAAAAACCCAGCTCAATCCCTGTGAGACATTGACACATCGGGACATGTAGTTTTTAACTTTGAACCTTCCATAGTAAACATTACATAGTGTACTGGTGGCCCAGTTGACATGATGCATTGAACTGTTCTACCTCTGCGTGCACTTAGTCAATAATATTGACGTATCGCTATCTCAGTCTCAACTTTGTTCTAACGTTTTGATCCATTTCGGCCATGGATCTCATATTTGGATTCATAAGTGTTTCATTTGAAGCGGCCCACACTTCACACTTTTATAGGTAATCCTATATCAAGGTATCTAATTCACACATTTAGGATCATTAAGAGTAATGACTCAACCTCACCACTTTTGCACATTATAACACTCATTGATTTTCAGGGAATTGAAATTGAGTGTTCGTGTCGGAATCTTACAGTTTAGTTTTCCCATTGAACCAAGGTTTGAGATTTCCAAGTGATTTGGTTGGGTTACTACTGTAGTTGTCTCTATCTTGTGGATTTCAAACCCATTCTCTTTAGCAGTTTGTACATTTGATCTCTCTGCAACCCTTTGGTTAGCGGATTTGCTAAGTTTTCTATTGATTTTACATATTCAATAGTCAAAACCCCATTGGTGATCAAATGCCTTACAGTGTTATGTCTACGTCGGATATGTCAGGATTTACCGTTGTAAATTTCATTTTTAGCCATTGCTATTGCAGCTTGGCTATCGCAGTAAATCATTACGGGAGGTACTGGTTTAGTCCAGTATGGAATATTATATATTAAGTTCCTCAGCCATTCAGCTTCTTCGCCAGCTTTGTCCAAAGCGATGAACTCCGATTCCATTGTGGACCGTGCAATGCACGTCTGTATTTTTGGATTTCCACGAAACAGCTCCACCTCCAATCGTAAATACATATCCACTTGTAGACAGTGAATCTTTTGTATCGGATATCCAATTGGCATCGCAGTACCCTTCGGTTTGTCTGTAGCCTTTTACTACGAGACGGGTTTTGTATTTGTCAATAGACCAATCAACCTTGAGTTTCTTTTTCAAAACCCATTTACACCCTAATGGTTTGCAACCTTCGGGTAGGTCAAATAACACCGAAGTGTTATTATGCATTATTGAGTCTATTTCACTATCTATTGCTTCCTTCCAAAAAGGAGCACCAGGACTAGATAATCCTTTATTGATCGTTGTTGGATCATTGTCTAACATATATGTAACAAAATCCGGACCAAAGGTTTTCTCGACCCTTGTCGTTTTGCTATGCATAGGCTCTGAAGCCCCTTGATCAGGGCTATTGGTCATTTGTCTTTTTACCCCCCGTAGTTCTTCATCTACGAATTTTGGGTTTGACTGCATCCTTTCCTTACAAGGGTAGATATTTTCAAAGAATGTGACATTCCTTGATTCCATCGTAGTTCTCTCGGTCATCCTAGGGATTTCCGATTTGTGAACTATGAAACGATAAGCACTATTGTTTAGTACGTATCCGATAAATATGTAATCTACCATTTTTGGGCCGATAGCGACTTGCTTTAGAGGCGAAACTTCCACTTTTGCTAGGCACTCCCACACTTTTAAGTATTTTTATGTGGGTTTCTTGCCTTTTCATAGTTCGTAAGGGGTGGCATCCTTACCCTTAAGTGGAATCTTGTTCATGATATAATTTTCAGTTAGTACAGCCTCCCTCATAGGTTTTGGGGAAGTCCTAACTTATCAACAAGACATTCATCATTTTCTTAAGTGTGCAATTTTCGCGTTCTGCAACGCCGTTCGATTGAGGTGAATATGGAGCCGTTGTCTAAGGAATTATGCCACTTTCGTTACATAATTCTTTGAATGGGGCCACATATTCGTCACCTCTATCACTTCGAATTGTCTTGATTTTACAGTCAAGTTGATTTTCTGCCTCAGTTTTGAAGTTCTTGAAGGCCTCGATTGCTTCGCTCTTTTCCTTTAATAGGTCAAGATAACAATACTTTGTGCAGTCATCGGTAAAGGTGTTGAAATATTTCTTTCCACCTCTAGTTTGCACAAATTTTAAATCACATACATCAGTGCGAATTAACTCTAATGGCTTAGTCTTCCTTTCGACATATGAGAATGGTAATTTTGTCATTTTGGCCTCCACACGCAAACTTCACATTTATTTTGAGTGTTCACCTCTTTTATATTTAGTAAATTCATATTTACTAATCTTTTTATAGCATTTAGGTTTACATGACCTAGTCTACAATGCCATAAATCAGAACACTCAATCAAACACGAAGAAAAAACAACATTTTTATTATCAGTAGGTGGTGCTCGGCGCATGGCCATTACATTCAATTTGAACAGCCCATTTGTAAGATAAACCCTAGCTAGGAACATCTCGTTTTTCGATAATATAAATTTATCTGCTACAAAGACAAGTTTAAAACTATGCCGAACTAGTAGCGATCCTGAGACGAGATTTTTCCGAATGTCTGGCACATGTAGGACATCTTTCAAGGTTAGTTCTTTGCAAGAGGTCATCTTCAACACTACAATCCCTACGCTTGGACCTCAGAAGTTGCGTGATTTCCCATGTGTAGCTTCCTCCCTTCGGTCTCTTTGTATGTCGAGAAGTTTATTTTGTCGGAGCAAATATGGCAGATTGCTCAGGTGTCAATATACCAAGCTCTCGGACTTTCCACATTATTTGTTTCGTACACAACAGCGACAAGGTTGTCATTATTGAGATCACGATCAGTCCGGTGGCTCGTCTCGACCAGTTGGGAACTCTGCTTCTTCTTTTTCAGTGCCTTGCAATCCTTAACCTGGTGTCATGTTTTACCACAGTTAAAATAATTACCTATAAACTTGGACTGTTTGGCTTTGCCCTTGTCCGTTTGAGTTAGGCGTGCACGTTTTTTGGCGGGATCTCCGACCAAGTTGGCTTTAGCATTATCTCCACTTTTAGCCTTATGTTGTTTTCTATTGTCTTCCTCTATCAGGATTTGGACAATCAGATCTTCAAGCCCCACTTGCTTTAGCTCATGCTTCAGCCCGTGCTTGAAGTTGCTCCAACTCGGGGGCAATTTCTCGATTATCACACTTGTGATGAACTTTTCTAGCAGTGGCATCTCCTCGTCAATAACAGAGTGAATAATATGTTGAAATTCTTCCACTTGTTCGACAACAGACTTTCCATCTACCATCTCAGTCCATAAACCGGACCACAACAAATATATTAGACCCGGCATTCTTGGACTTATATTTTTTCTCAAGGGCATCCCAGAACCCTTTCGCACTCTTTATTTTGCAATATATATTATAAAGAGAGTTAAAGAGACTACATAATATAGTATCTTGTCATGTAGTCTCCGTATTCCCACGATGCATTATTCGCATGCGTCTGCTGATCTGCACCGGGCTCTAGGGTGATTGGGCCATCGTGCAACACGAACATGGCAAACCCAATCGCAGTCAGGTAGAAGAGCATCTTCTCCTGTCACCTCTTAAAGTCCACTCCCGTGAATGGTTGTGGAACTTGTACATGGGGCATCATCCGTGGCCAAGCACAGGACCAACAGTTTGGGCCGCAAATGAAGTAGAGGGTGCGACTACAAATCCAGGAAATCCCTCATATCCCTCAGGGGCAAATCCAGAAAATATAGGGCTACCCATAAAGGGAACTGGCCCAAGTGGAGGACCTACTACCTTGTCTACGGCTCCGGCCGCGGCTCCTCCGACGGTGGCTTCGGTGATTCCTCCGGCGGCAGCTCCGGCGACTCCTCCGGCGAACATTCCAAAGACTCCTCCGGCAACGGCTTCAGCGACAGCTCCGGAAATTCCTCCGGTATAGATTCTGGTGACTCCTCCAGTCGCAATTCCGGCAACGGCTCCGGAGACTCCTCCGCCGGCGGCTCCGGCGACTCCTCTGGCGGAAATTCCGGAGACGGCTCCTGCGACTTCTCCGGCAGCAGCTTCCGCAGGGGTTGACATTCTCGCAAAATAGTATCTAATTTTTATTGTTGGAGTATATGGGTATTGCGAGAATAAATATGAAACCGAGTCGATGATGAATCCTCTTTCCGAAAATTAGATTCCAGTGGATGACGTTCTAACCCAGAGATAAAACGGTTTCCGTCTCTAATGAGAGTGACACATCTAATCGTTGGAGCTCCGGCGAACAAAACGAGAGAGGAACTGAGCTGGAAAAGCTGCCGGAAAGCTAGAAGAAATGAGAGAAGGATGAGAGAATTGTTTGTGTTGGTTTTTAGAATGAAGGGAGAGGCCCTTTATATAGGCGTCTTCACTCGGCCAAAATGGCAGGAGATCAATTATGATCATAATTACGGCCTTAATTATCGATGTAATTTATTCTAAATTCAAACCTTCCGTTTGAAGCAATCATAATTGATTAATAGTTACAAACTTTCCGTTTGTGACGATCGTAATTTATTCTAATTTCAAACATTCCGTTTGAAACGATTGTAATTTATTTTAATTTCAAACCTTCCGTTTGAGATTATAATAAATCTATCCAGTGGATAATATTTTGTCCAAATAATATTGCGACTTAGGCCATATACCCGGGTTTAATGTGGGGTTGCACAATTTGGTTTGTCTCGAGACAGACAAAATAGTCAAAATATTAACCAAACCCCATACACAATAAATAAATAATATTTATTTATTTCTTCCAAATTAATTTAGTACACCGGCCCGTTGTATTTTCACTCACAAGATAATCGATTGCAAAATAACCGATTATCGACGAAGAAATTTGTGATTTTTGTGTTTTAATTGCCTTAAATTTGTATAAATTATTGAAATTTAAATTTTACCAATTAAAATCCACCAATTACTCAAAATTTAAGGAATCTACATGTATCCTCATTTTTTTAATTTAAATTGAGCTTCTATGCTAAAAAGAAATAATAATAATAATAAAAAGACTACTTATCATTTACACTAATCTATTTACACTTATCATTTTCTCGTCCTAGAAGTTAGTCAACTGGCTCCCTTGGATTATCATTGAGCAATCTACTTTTTGGTGGTTTCACATGTTCTATAAACCATATAGCAGATTTTTCTGGAATCTCTTTAACTTGGAGTATATATCAATCAAGGAAACGGTAGATATAGTATTAAAGAATCATGTATTGGCACGATGTTTCCATATCCTTCCCAATTTGAAACTGCCCTGATGATAAATTAACAAATCAAGAAAAAATATTTTTTGTCAATGAAAATGAAACAAATGCAATTTGAAATAGGGATTTTTCCCAACTCTTGGAATTATGTGGTGAATCATCCCACATGTCTGAAAGTGGGAGCATCGTCTTCCTCTAAAAATCTCTCTTTAAAATTTTGAGTCACATCCTCTGGTGAGACCCTAGCACACAAGACGTTGCGTGTCCTTTTAGGGGCGAGAGTTCATTCTTGTGGCTCCTTTGGTTCTATATTTATCTTTAATTGTGCTGCCACTATGGTATATAGGCAAACCATGCATTTGTTCCTCCTGTTTACCGGAAGATTTTTGGTTCGATACTTCCCTCGAAATTAAGATTGGAATTATTGGAGTTGAATTTTATGGTTGAGAAGTAACTATACTTGCTTTAGTAATGACTCGTCTAGAACACAACCTATGTAAATATTTGGATGTAAGATTAACTATTTATATCATATTAGATATTATTTTATTTTACTTTTTTTTATTATTATTATAAAACTTGAATTTGAAATTCAAATCTTAAACTTAAAAAATATAAATAAAAATTGTTAAAGTTTGTCTTGAAGTATTTGGTAATAAGTTGAAAGTGGACTTTGAAATTGAGAATAAGTAAAAACTCATTAATATAATTATTTAATATAATATAAATGAATGTTGATATGATAATGTAAAAATAATTTTTAATATAATATAAAATATTAAAATATTAATTTTATATTTTCCTCAGTTTATTTGATAGAGTAATAATTACTTTTGGTGTGTGTATTAAGAAATACAATGTTTTAATGATAGTTGATGTTTTTTTTATATTCAATGACTAATTTATCTTTATGAATTTATTTGTAATGAAATGATATTTGTGTATATAAATGTGATTGAAGAGTATTTAAAAAGTATAATAGGTAGATTTTTATTTTGAAGGAAATATACAACAAAAAGATAAGAAAATGTAATTTTTTCAAGTGGACGGATTTATGTATTTTTTATGAAGAAAATATAAATATATATAATGAATTGTTGAAGATGTAATCGAAGCCCCCATATCCAAACAAACAGATTATTATAATCTGGAAAAAAAGAAGACAAATAAATGAAGAATGGATAATGGTTGACAGAAACATTCGACATAAACATTCTGTGATTCTGTAAGAATTAAAGGACTAACTCTACTGTACTTACTGTCAATCGAATCGAATCGAATCGAAGTAGATAAAGAATCCTAACTGAATCTTGTGGCATGGATTCCCAGTGTTGATTGGATGGACCAATTCTCATTGACATATTCCAACACGTACAAGGAATTGAATGAACTATAAGCTAGCTTCACATCACACACACACCTTCTGTAAATCCAAAAAACACTATGAAGAAGAAGATTCTTCCAACTCTCTTCACATTTTATTACCACCTCTTGAATTCCCAGATTGTTCCCTCCTTATGTTTCACTTCGTTTCTGTTCGGAGATTCCCTCGTCGACACAGGTAATAATAACTATCTCTTCACATTGTCCAAGGCCGATTCGCCCCCTTACGGCATCGATTTTGCTCCCTCCGGCGGCCATCCCACCGGAAGATTCACCAATGGACACACCATAGGAGATCTCATAGGTTATCACATTAATCCAATTCTTGATACGTTTTGAATTTAGGGTTGAAATACTAATTGATTTGATGTGATATAAATAAATATATAATACGCACTCTGGTGGGTGTAAAAGTGTTTTAAAAGACTAAAATATCCTTATTTATGTAATTAGTGTGAAAGAAATTGGGATAATTTTGTAAAAAAAAATGATGAGATAGTTACCAAAAATAAAAAACTGAACTATTGTTTTGAAACAGATGAAAATAATAATATGAGACTATTATTTTGGAACGAAGAAAGTATAACATAGTACTAAATAGAAAAAAAGTATTTGATTCGATGATTCGGAGGAAAAATTTTGATAAACAAAATCATACCTTAATGGTGTGTTTGTGGATTTGGATTTTTTGAGTTTGAATATTTTACTAGTAAAAAATTGAATTTGAATAGTTGTTTGATGTTATATTTTGAATGTAAAATATAGTATAATATAATAAAATAAATTATTTAATTTGATATTTTTGAAAAAAAATTAAATAGTAAAAATTTGTAATAAAATGAGAATAACACAACCTAAAGAAACATATATTTGACATTGATCGTCTTAAATATGCCATTGTTATTGATTTTTTTTGAGCTTTTTTAGGCGAAGCTCTCGGAGCAAAATCGTTCCCGCCGCCTTATTTAAGCCCGAATGCCGCCGCATACGCCTTCGATGTTGGAGTTAACTATGCTTCGGGAGGTTCGGGGATCTTGAACGGGACCGGAACTCTCTTCGTATGTGCTTTTATTTTCTTTCGTATCATTTACTCTAACAATTAATCGAAAGAATTCATCGCGGATTCGTGGAGGACTAATGTGTGTCTTATATGGCAGATCGAAAGGCTACCGTTGTCCGAGCAGATCAGCAATTTCGAGATGACGAGAAACTACATGGTGAGCTCTGCGGGCGAAAATAGGACAAAGGATGTCCTAAAGAACACAGTTTTCTCAATAACTATCGGGTCCAACGACGTCATAAACTACTTCCAACAACCGTTTGCGTTTCTCAACGGGAACGTCTCCATGGCGACGTTCCAAGATTTCATGGTTTCGAATCTAACGGAACAGCTTAAGGTAAAACGACGTCTCATCTCCCCCGTTCGACATTCAAAATCGAATTTCTGTTTTCTGACGAGAAATCCTTATTTTCGCGCAAAGCGATTGCACGGTTTAGGGGCTCGTAAGATTGTCGTCGTCGGGATAGGCCCTCTCGGATGCATACCTTTCATCCGCGCCATTAGTCTCGTCCCGAGCAGAGAATGCGCAGCTACGGTTAACGCCTTCGTCAGCAGCTACAATCAGCGACTAAAAGTCGAGATAAATCAGCTGAATGTCGACGCGGGGGCTGATGCGATCTTCGTTTACGTGAATTCTTACGACATATTTTTAGAGATCATCGACAACTATGGAGATTACGGTGAGCTATGAAACTGTATCATTTTCGATGTTGGAATGTGTAATGTACTAATATGAGTCGACAGGTTTTGGGAACAACGACGGGCCGTGTTGTGGAGGCTATGTCCCGCCGTTCTTCTGCTACGACGGGAATGGGAATAACGCGACTGCAGCAGCGTGCCCCAATCGAAGCGCGTATGTGTTTTGGGACGCGTATCATCCGACGGATGCTGCGAATCGCATTGTCGCCGATCGATTGTTGGATGGCGACGAAAATGATTGTTCGCCGGTGAATATTCGACAGCTTTACTATCACGAGTTCACTTGATTCTTGATGGATCTAAGGATGAATAGTATGGTGTTAAAAAAGATCGAAATTGTCGATTCTGGGTCGTGCGTGCTTTGGCTCGATCGATGTTGTTGTCGAAGTATTTACGCGTTGTAATGAAAATCCCTCGAAAATTATTCGAAATCCTCTCTACATATTCTTGTCGACATATATATATATATACACATGAACAGTTAAGTAGTGGTTAAAATTAATCGTCACCGTAGTAATTAGCTCTGATCAGCATATAAAATATGGTCTATTAGTGTAAGATTTTAATTACTACAACATGAAACGTATATATTTTTATCATGTGTCGATAGTTTATATATACAAGTGTGCTATATGAATATGTTTTATATGATGAGGTACATGATAATATGTATTGTATGGATCATTGTCATGTATTGCTAGGGTGTGGTTAAATTTAGCATTGTGTTGAACAATACGTAAGTAATGTGCTAACAAATAACACATGATATTACTATTGGTAGCACATTATTTATATTAATATAATATAAATACTATACGTAATATAGTCTCACACAATACATGTAACATGCTTATTTTCATATTTTACATGTGCTAATTTTGTAAATCACGATACTGATTTCTTCAAATTAGTGTCGTAACCCTTCTTATATAAGATTAGAATAGATAATATAATTATATCCTATCTAATTTCATTTTTTATTTTAACGTATTAAAATTTAGGATTGATTAAAGCCGGCTATAATCACTACCAAAAAAAGGTTTTTTTTTGGTAACGGGCTGATGTTCTGTAACAATAATCTCGTCACAAAAAGTGGTTTATGTTACAATTTATGTCGAAACAAAACAAAACGGGCGGTGGTCAACCTTTTTTTTCTTTTGTTACAAAAATTTATCCGTACCAAATACAATTTTGACAAAAAGTTATCTTATATATATTTGTTACGTGGACCGACCGTAACCAAAAAAGTAAGTATTATAAATTTAAATTTTTTTGAAAATTAAATCTAAAAATAATTTCAAAAATAATTAAATACAAGCTTTTCATTACTTAATAAATTATTAAGTAATGTTTTGTTAAATTAAAATAAATTCAATATAAAACTTATTACTAAAAACAAAATTAAAAATAAAAAAGCGTCAAAGCGCTTTTATGTCTTCGTCTTCGGCCAACATTCCATATACAATAAATCAAATCAAATTATTTTTCGCTTCTCTCCTTAGACGAATTTACAGAGAAGCCTCAGACTCGCTCCGCCGTTGCCTCCACCTTCGCAATGCCGTCGCCTCCACCTTCTCGCCGCCGTTGCTAGTGGAAGGCAGCCCAAAATTCACCCTAAGCTCGCGACCTTCATCAGCTAGGTTTGAAGACGGTCATTCGGGCTACGTTTTAGGGCGCAAAATCGACGGGTGAGTTAAAACAATTTGTTAACCCAACGTATTTGTGTGTTTTGAGGATTTTTTATATAGTATAATAATCATCTACTTGATGTTCATTTATTCGATCAAGTTTTTGCAATGTAGGTTTTTGGATTTAAAACCTAGATTTTCCATTGACTGCGTAAAAATCGATTTTGTGGCTTTTGGATATCTTTATGGTTGAAATTATTTCGTACCTAATTACACAAATGTAATGGGTATAAAAGAAGTGGTATCAGGGCTTCTTCAAGTTTTTGGAGGGAATTACTGTAATGTTTGAATTTTTGGAGGGGATTAGCAGGATTTGTTTTCCTGCGCTCTTGTCCTTCTCGCCGCCTCGTGACCGGGTTTGCATCTGTAACGGCACCTACCGGGATTGATTGTGTTGTGCACGCAGAGGAAGGGGACTCTCTTTTTGGCGAGGATTTTGAGAATTTCGAGGATTCGTCTGAAAGTAATGATGATGAGGGGGATTTCGAGAATTTCGAGGATTGTTCATAGTGCAGAGCTTATTTAGATATGTTTAAGAAGTAGTTTTTTTTTTTTTGTCTCAATCCACTCCCAACACCAAATTATTTGTTTACCCCTTTCAAACACTTGAACTGCAATTGGGAAATTACAAGCTTCATATTCAAGTTGGTGAAAGTCGGTGGTGATGATTAAATGATTACCACAGTATTTAGCATGCAATGGACTGCCACATTCTTGGCTGTGGATGGCATTGCACTGCTCCAAACAATCACAAGTCCAAACAGATTTTTGAACTTCAGTTTTTTTATTGCCGAGGCATCTGATTTAAGCAAAGAGAGGAATTCATTATTACTTGTCTCTTTGAAATTTCCCGATCTTCATATAGAGAATGGAGTGCAACAAATATGAGGCCATACAGGCAAGGTCAGTTGTTCAGCGCAAGATGGAAGAGAATGAGTTTGAAGGTGCTCCAAAGTTTGTTTTGAAAGCGCAAAACCTTTACCCAGGACTTGACAGTATTAGCCAGTTGCTAAGCATCTATGATGCTCATTGTTCAACTCAAAATAGATTAGGATCTGAAAAGGATTGGTATGGAATCCTTCAAGTTGAGAAGCTGGCTGATGAATCAAAGATCAAGAAACAATATCGACGGTTGGCCCTCAGTCTCCATCCCGACAAGAACCGATTTCCTAGAGCCAAGGGTGCTTTTAAGTTGATTTGTGAAGCAAATTCAAAACTTTCAGATCCCTCCAAGAAATCTATAATATGACAATAGTATTAGTTTTTTAGTCAAATCTGGTTCTGTCAGTTCAGCTTATCAGCACAGAGCTCAAAACAATGTTTCTAAGGGTTTTAGAAATTAGAATCAAAATCAACCTGCGGCTCAACCAGCATCCTCAGGATGAAAATGTGTCTTTCTTTATTAGTGTGATAAAGGAACACTATGATTTTATCAATTCTGAAGATAAGAAATTAAAAAAAAAAAGTGTGTTGTAACTTTCATTGCCATTATTTTGGAGGTTCTGAAATTTGGTTTGACTTTTATTTTTTACAATTTATCTGCCCTCTGCTTCTAAGCTTATGTGATTACTGCAAGTAGTAGATATATATTTGCTTATGAATTCACACTGTCTTTTTGATTCTCCAATAGGAATGGTGTCCAGTGGCAGAAATTTTTGTGCGTGAATGTGCTTAGGGGGTCGATATTATCTTTGGAGATGACCTACGGGTAGAGGAGCGTACTTGTACCTGTGCCTGCTTCCGCCAAATAAATTTTGTACGTTATTCATTCCTCCTCTTTTATTTTATGGCCTGCAAAGGTGTTAATTGAAGTTCATAACAATATGAGAATTATAGTGGTACATCACTATGCTTAGAGCTTATAGGATATATGGGTTTGGAGATAAGTTTCCTTTTGGAGAGATCGAACAAACATGATTCTGCTATCATTTTTGGTTTTAAGGGGCTGTTAATTTTTTGATACTTTAAATTCGGCCTCATTGGAGGCATATGTCTTATTTTTGGTTCTTTATTTTTATTCTAGTGTCTTCTTTTGATCCGGTTAGTCTTATTTCATTAGTTAGTTCATAACAACTAAATAATATTTGTTTCATAACGGTGTTTTTCGCATGTCTAATGCAAGGGCGGTGTTTTTCAGTTTGTTTCAGTTGTATATATTTTTGGGGCGTAACCCAGAAGTGGTTATATTTCTTATTTGCTTGCTGATACATTACACACTATGCATTGTATTACATTACCGGCTGTTTTATTGTAGAACATATTGATGAGTTATGAATTGTTTAAGGAACATGCAAGTTTTCTTACAAAGATAGACATCATATCCACATATAGTTGAAAGTTGAAACAAATAAGTCAAATTATTGTCACACAACCGATACATACATAACTAGCATATAATGTGTTGTCATTACCCCGTAACTACGTTGGTGGCTGCTTGATTGGATTCTTTCCAAAATTGTTTATTAGATGGATAGGACTTGGATAGAAGAATCCGACTACACTTCCAATAGATACTTTGACAAAGTGATCCAATTCTTAAGCTATGCTTTCACCGGAAAAACACTGAATCAGTTGTGCACTGCCCCTGTAAGATTTGTGGCAATCGTGCAAATTATAGCCGTAGGGAGATCTTGCTCCATTGTATCATGTACGGGTTTGACACCTCGTACAAGGTGTGGACTTGGCATGGGGAAGCGGGGAGTGAGACGACCACTAGCAACTTGGTTGAAGATGAGATGACTTCGCAACGGGAAGATGAACTAGACCTGCTTCTGTGCGAGTGTGTTTTCTCACACAATGTAAACCCAGAGAACAGTCATGTAAACATAAATGACGTGGATCATGAAGAGGGGATAGAGAGCGGTAAGAAGGGATTGAAAGACATGTTAGAAGATTTGCAAAAGGACCTAATACCGGGGTCTAAGAAATTGAGTAGGTTATCATTTATCGCACGCCTTATGCATTTGAAGGTTTTGTATCAATGGTCAAATAAATCATTTGACCTTCTGCTAACCTTGTTGAGGGATGCTCTACCCGATGATGTGGTGTTGTCGAAGACTTACTACGAGGCAAACAAAATAACAAAAGAGTTGGGATTTACTTTTAAGGCTGTGGACGCATGCATGAACAATTGTATGTTGTTCACCGGAGAGGATGCAGATCTTCAGGCATGTGTTGTATGCGGTGGAAGGAGGTTTGTCGAAGGGAGCTCCACCGTGTCTGTAAAAAAGATGAGGTATTTTCCATTAATTCCCCGTTTACAGCGAATGTTCTTGTCCTCCAAAACAGCAGCGTCAATGCGGTGGCATGCTGAATCTCGTGTTGATGATGGCGTTTTGCGGCACCCAGCTGATAGTGACATGGAAAAGGTTTGATCTTCGAAATCCATTATTTTCCGATGACATTCGAAATGTACGATTGGGATTGGCGTCCGATGGCTTCAATCCTTTTGGTAACATGAGTGTTAATTATAGCATTTGGCCAGTGGTGCTCGTGATCTATAATTTACCCCCATGGTTATGTATGAAACAACCATCATTCCTCATTTCTACAATAATAGACGGTCCTAAAGGGCCGGGAGATCGGATCGATGTGTTTCTGCAGCCTCTTGTGGCTGAGTTGAAGGAGTTGTGGGACATTGGCTTGAGAACATTTGACGCAGTAAGTCAAGAGTACTTCCAAATGCGTGCTGCCTTACTATGGACCATTAGTGATTTTCCAGATTATGCTATGTTATCTGGATGGCCGACACGCGGGGGAAATGCATGTCCAAATTGTGGTGTACGGACACACTCTACATATTTGAAGAATGGGCACAAATTTTGCTACTGTGGCCATAGGCGTTTCTTACCTGATGGGCACAGGATGCGACGTGATCGGCATTCCTTTGATGGAACGATGAACTTTGAGCCCAGCGTCACACGCATAACCGTTGCCGAGTTACATGATCAGTTGAGGGATGTTCCTACTGCCTACCGTAAGGAGGATTTGGTTGCGCAACAAGCGGCACAACAATCTAGAAAACAGCGTCGGAGAGAGCAAAGACAATCATCCACATGGAAGAAAAAAAAAAACATTTTTCTTGAATTACCATATTGGGCTGATCATGATATACGACATAATCTGGACTTGATGCACATTGAAAAGAATGTTTGTGAAAATATCTTGCATACATTGTTAGGCACTAAGGGGAAGACAAAGGACAACCTTAGTACGAGGAAGGACTTGCAATTGATGAATATACGGAGTTCTTTGCATCCAGTTTCCAAGCCCAATGGTAGGGTTTACTTACCGGCAGCCGCGTACACCATGTCCTGTTCCGAAAAAAAATATTCCTATCAGTTTTGAAAAATTTGAGACCCCAGATGGTTTTAGTTCTAATTTAGCTCGTCGGGTCAGAATAGAACAACAAACAATATGGGGGTTGAAGAGCCATGATTGCCACATTCTAATGCAGCGAATCCTTGGTGTTGCAGTTAGACGGTACATTATGCACTACCCAACCCATCGTTTTGTACTATTGGCACTACAGTTGCATGACTTTGTGAGAGGTGATTTTTTCTATTCTTGTAGGGCTTTACCCAAAGAAGTTGTCGTTGTGTTGATGGAACTTTGCACCTTCCTCAACTTAATGTGTTCAACAAACAACACAGTACGGGATCTTGAGAAGCTATAAGATAGAATTGCTCTGACGCTATGTCACTTAGAGAAACTATTCCCACCTTCTTTTTTTGATTTTATGGAACATCTTCCGATTCACTTACTAGAGGAGGCGATGCTTGGAGGACCTGTTCAGTATAGGTGGATGTATCCAATCGAAAGGTATTTAGGTACTCTCAAGAGATATGTACGGAACCGTGCGAATCCGAATGGTTCAATTGCACATGGATACCTCGTGGAAGAGTGTATGACATTCTGTTCGAGATATCTTGGGGATTTAGAGACTAAAGAGAATCGTGTTGTGCGACATGACGATCTTGGATCAATAAGGGGGCGTGGTCTTTTTGGGTCCCGGTGTAACCTCGATTTCATCACTTTGCAACAAATACACGGATACATATTAGGCAATGTCGAAGTTATTGGTCCACTCAGAAGGTATGTATCTTCAATAAAGGATATTTTGTCTTATTATGGGTTACCATGTCTAAAATCCTTGGGGACTCCCCTTCTTTCATCCGCAGTGTGCATCTAGAAAGTATTAAGAGAATGCGACCCAATGCAAGCCCCCGAGAAGTGCAGCAGATTCACATCAAACAATTTCCAGGGTGGTTTCAAACCTATGTGGGTACAAAAATATCACAATTTAGAGTTGGGGGTACAGTCAATAAAAAATTTACTGCGAAAGTAAATATACTTAACTTGTCTGTAGGTAGAGGATCCTACCCACAATGTCGATGGCACAATCACTGCGAACATAAAGACACTAGCACAAGGACCTTACACGCATGCAACAAGATTCACGTCTTGCATCGTCTCTGGAATCCGGTTTCGAGTTAAATCAAGGGACGAAGGAAAAAAGACTCAGTGTGCTGGTGTGATGGTCAATGTAGAGACGATTAGCTATGCAAGTGCAAGAGACCTAAATCCTCGGGCAGGTTCGGTCGCATATTATGGGTTAGTAACTGACATTATAGAGGTGGAGTACAGTAATGAAATCCGCTTTCTTCTATTTAAATGCGATTGGGCTGACCCAGAGAAAGGTGTTAAGGATGATGAGTACAAGTATAAGATGGTAAACTTTCAGCACTTGATGTACACAACAAATCTCCCAACAGATGAACCATTTATCTTAGCTAGGCAAGCAAGATAGGTTTGGTACATCATTGATCCCGCAGATGAAAACTGGAGTATTGTTGTTCCAATGTCTATGAGAGATACCTATGATGTTTACACGACCATAGATGATAATTTCAGGACAAGGTTTAACCTTGACGATGGTTGCATATCCAGATGAGCGGTTGATTATTGGTTGAGGGAGGATGTAGAGGGGGTAGTAGTGGAAGGTGAAGCCAATATGAATGTAGGCACTAGCCTACCAGGGATGGTTGAAGAGGATTCTTCCGAAGAATCCAACTGCGCTTCTTTATAATAGAGTGTAGTCCTTTTTGTTTTTGACGACTTTTTGGAAACCCTCCCACATTTTTGGCGTTTTTGGCTGAATTATAGAGTTGGGAAGCAATAACTACGTAGTAGATGTAGGATACTCCAATCTCCTAAACCAAACTTCAGGTACATTCATATTATTTGTGTATGTTGTTATATTGTCAGTCATTTTTATGCAGGAATATCTCAATTCTGAACTCAACAAAATCCCAACATATCAGAGAACACCAGCCGTCCGTGAATTTTTATACCGACGAGCGCTTGCAGGGAAAAGAAAACGGCGAACGGCGGTTGATGCGCAGCAACCTTTGCCCAAACCAAGACTCAATCTGCCAGCCATGTCGACAGTGAAGCCATGCAATCACAAATGAAGGAATTTCGCAATGGTATTGCTGAGATGAAGGCGGTCTTGTCTGAAATTAAAGCTATCAAAGATGAAGTGACTATGTACAATGCAGAAATTTCTTCATGGACACCTCCTTCCATTGGACCATCTCCAGAAGCCTCGGTAAGTATGGTAAACTCTATATGTAACGTGGGGGAAAAATATCGACTCTACTAGTTGATGTGAATCCAATGTCTATTATGAAGGGAACTACCCGATTGGCTGAAAGGACGGGCGAGTCAGCTGGCACTAATTCACTTGAATTGATGACGGTTTGTGTTATTAATATGATTGATGTCTACAATAATGTCGTATAATAGTTTTACGGTAAATTTTAATTTGTTTCATGCTCTTAACACAAAGGAATGTTGATAATAGTGAGAAATGTTCTGGCGTAGATTGGGACACGTGTTCGTTTGCTCTCTCGAGGACTGGAGAAACGTGTGGTCGGCGAAAGAATGATGCTAAGCCTCCCTACACCAGGTTCGTTTGCTCTTGATAAGTTGCCTTTTGATTGTGTAGTTGTACGGTGTGAAATGGACATAAAATGGATCATGTGTAAGATTGTTATATCTAGCATCTGGTTTTATTGTTGTAGGAGATGTCTATTTGGGTTTAAGATAGTTGTATGGTTGAACGTTATTTGTAGGGCTTGATTGGTGGTTATGTTATTGCTATTGGAGAGCTGTGTTCGTTTTTTTTACTGATGGATTGCCCATCTATGATCCCTGTGATTTATAATTATTAGTGTATGTGTAAGGGGAGTTGGCCCCTATGGTCCATGTTGTGTTATTTATTTTCATAATGTTCAGGGGTCAGCCTATTTTATTAGTGCTTTTCGAGTTTATTTGTTATTATACTTGTTCCTAAGTTAGGGTCCCTAGATCAGGCTAAAGCGTAAGTTTTATTTTATTATATTCATCCTCGTAACTAGCGCTAATTCAACCTATTTATATAGGTTATACCCTAGCCATTATTAAGGTGTATGTTACAGCTCTAATGGTCCCGGAGACCGCACTTATCCTCCCAACTAATGCTGGAGCGAAAATTCTCAGTGATGTACTCGATGGAGATAATATCGAGTGGATTTACCAAGATGTACGCAATTTTTTATTTACTTTATTCTTTTGGAAATTAAATTACTTCAATTTCTGTAATAAATGCTTATATATTATTAAAAACACATTGCATTTGGTTCGCCGCCCGTGATTGCAGCCTCCATGATTCTGCACTCGACTAGCTGGGTCATTGATAGTAGTGTTTATGAGTTGCCCTTAAGATCGTATTTCCGTATGATATCAGAATTATCTATTTATGTATTACTTTTGGGTTTTGCATATCATTATTTAGTAGGTTGTTATGTTGGTGTACGGATTGGTGTTTTGTTAGGATGTTTTATTAGCACCGTTGACGACTAATATTTTATTTTTGGCTGGACTATGAACATCGTTGTATTGATGACCATGTGTAGTATTTTGATGGATTTAGAAATAATTATGATAAGATTAAGTTTTAAATTATTTGTCTCGCAGATTAATAATACAGACAAATGAAATTTATTTGTGGCGACAAAACTACTATGCCACACAGGGACGTCTTTTGTAGAGTATTTTTAGTTACGGACAGTGGCCGGTACAAATGGTAAGGAATGGTTGCTTGACTTTTGTCATGATTTTTTGTTGCGGAGTAATTTCGTAACAAACAACTTATTTGTTACAGGACAGTCCTTTCGTAATGTATTGTTGTTACGGACACATCTTGTAATAAGAAGTTTTCTGACAAGATTAGACATTTGTAACGCATTTGTTGATTCGGACATATGTCGTAACAAATATTTTTCTGACAGTATTCAACTTTTGTTCCGCAGTATTTGTGTCGGATATTTGTCGGTTCAAAAAATGATTGATGTTTTTGTTACATACCAAAAAACGTAAGAAATATAATTAACACGTGCTTATTTTGAGAGTTGACCACCTAATATTTGTTACAGATTTTGTTGCGACACGAACTTTTTGTACCGCGTTTTTTCGTAACGGTCATAATCCGTAACAAAGTCGACACAAAAAGCTATTTTGCATGAAAAATGAGTTTTAGTTACGAATATTTGATCGCTACAAAAAAGAAATTTTTTTGATAGTGAATAATACACTAATATATAAGATTAGGATGCATTTATTTTCTAAGATATGATTATAAAATATGTATTATTCTAATATTATTATATAGTTATATGAAAAAATAATTCAATGTTTACTTTAATTTATTATTGCACAAAATTATTGATTCTGCCTAAATACTCTTAATTATAAAATAAATATATGATGTGCATATCTATATATATATAATTATTCTAACCTCTTTTCCGTATATTTTTGTTATTAAGATTCAATCATTATATATATAATTATATATACATATATTTTATTAATATTTCGTATAATTTTTAATTTTGCGTCTCATTACATTGTCTTCAACCTCGAGCATTATACTAACTTAGAAAGGGAAATTCGATAAGAGATTCAACATCATTAATCTGTAAGACTACAAAAGTTAAAAGAGTAAGAATTTATGGAAAATCGTAAAAATTATGATCTTTTATTTTTATTTTTTGAATTCATGTACTTTTGAAACTAGATAAATATGTTTTTTTTGTTTATTTATTTTGTGTGTAGATGAATAATGTGCAAGCGGTACAAAAAATTACTCGATTAAGATGAAGAAAACAACTTCGTTTGAAGGGTAGACCAAATCAGAATTTGGATTTGTAGTCAAATAAATTGTATGTTTCAAACAATATATAAATATTTTATTATATATATTTTAAATAATTTTATTTTTGTTGATTAGGGAATGAAAATTCGTCCCTAAATATTCTTTTGTCATCACCACCAATTGAATGTAAGTAATTTTATTATTATTATTATTATTATTGTTGTTGTTATTGTTGATGTTGTAACAGAAATCCTAATCACCATCCTCCCCGCTTTTCCCCCAAAAATCCACAACCGCGATCCCTCATTCCTCATTCTTTCCTTCTTTCTTTTTATTTAGTTTTTATTTTATTTTATTTATATCTATTATTATTTCAATAATAATATATATTTTTCTCAATAGCGCGGCCGTTTTTCTTCCGTTTTTCTTCCAAAGAAGAAGTCCTCCACCACATCTAGCTAAAATACCCGGTGAGGTTTTATTTTATTTATTTTCTTTATTATTATTTTAATTATAATATATTTATTAAATTATAATTAAATATATTAATTTTATATTTAGAGAATAATCAGAAATTTTTAAGAATTGTTTGTAATTTATTGCGTTTTCAAACTGTGGGATTATTGATTGGATATTTGTAGTTTGACCCGAAATTTAAAAAATGTGACAAAATTTTTAGGTTTGTTTTCTTGATCTTTAATATGATTTTCGTTGGTTGATTTAATGATGATTGAGCATATTCATATGTATTCTTAAAAACTTTTTTTTTATTTTTTTCTTTTTTATTTACGTATATAATTATTATCGTTTAAAGGGAATGAAAGATTTTTCATATGAAAAAATATCATTATCTCTTTCATATACAATTATTTATGCATATAATTTATTATCCTCCTTATATAGTGGAAATTTATAGTAAATTTGTTTTCTTCGACTCATAAAATTTAAATTTTATTATATGAAAATCTTTAACTAATTAATTTTTTTATTCGTACTATGATGCAAAAAAAAAAAAGTCTAAAAAAAATGAGAAAAAAAATAGAAAAAAAAAAGAAAGAGAAGTAGACAGATTATTTATTTAATTTTATTATAGGTAATAATATTATTAAATTAATTTTAATTTTCTACCAATCGATTCTTTTTTATTCTTATTATTTTTATTTACAAAATTATTTAGTTTCGAGTATAATGTTTTAATAATTCATTGTTATTGTATATGTATTTTTTTAAATAATCTATTATGTTATTCTTAATTTCTACTAATATAAAATATTTTTCATTATTATTAGTATGTATTTACTATTTTATTTAGTTTCTAAGTATAATGTTCTAATACTCCATTATTATTGTATATGTATTTTATTAAATTATCTATTGTGTTATTTTTATTTTTTACTAATAAAATATTTTTCATTTTTATTGATTATTTACTTTTTCTAATTGATTTGATTTCAGTTATTATATTATAGTATATTTTTCAATATTTAGATTATATTTAAATTTATAATTTTTTTATTTGAAAAAATATTTATAGAAACCATAAAGAAAATTATGATAAATTTTAATATATATATATAAATATTTTTAGCTATTACTTTTTTTTCCGATTATCTACGTATTTTTTAGTTATACATTGTGTTATTTTTATTTGTTACTAATCAATTTTTTATTCATTATTATTTAATTGATTTGGTTTTGAATATTATTTTAAAATATTTTTTCCCGTAAGTTTGTAGATTGTATTTAAATTTCGAGAATATTAGAAAAATTCAT